AGGCTGGGGTTGAGCGGAGGAGGTTGGGGTTGGGCGGAGGAGGTTGGGGTTGAGCTGAGATGTGCCACCACGTCCCTCCTGGTGTCTTGTGGCTCTACCACCACATCCCCTCCGTCATCCTGTGGGACGTTGGAGGGATCCACGTGGGGAGTGAACCCAGTGGAGGTGTCTCCACCCAACCATCACCTCCCTCCCAGGAGACATGTACAGCCAGGACGGGGACGCCGACGAGCCCGAGTGGGTGAAGACGGAGCGGGAACAATTCGTGGAGTTCCGCGACAAGAACCGCGACGGCAAAATGGACAAGGAGGAGACCAAGGACTGGATCCTCCCCTCCGACTACGACCACGCCGAGGCCGAGGCCCGGCACCTCGTCTACGAGTCCGACCAGGACAAGGTGGGGCTGGTGACACCTCCCGAGCTCGGGAGGAAACCTCCGAGGGAGAAACAGGCTCCAAAACCACCAATTTTGGTTTTTTTTTTCTTTTTTTTGTAGGATGGCAAGTTGACCAAAGAGGAGATCGTGGAGAAGTACGACCTGTTCGTGGGCAGCCAGGCCACGGACTTCGGCGAGGCCTTGGTGAGGCACGACGAGTTCTGAGGGGGGCTCCACAGAGTCAAAAAAAAAAAACAAAAAGCCACTTGGGAAATAATTTATTTTTTACCGTTTCTGGGATTATCAGAAGAAACGTTTTTGGGGTTTTTTTTTTTTGTGTTTCGCCACCGAGACTGTTCATTCAGGCGACGAAACCACCGAAATTTCTCCTCCCGTCCTCGGTTTAAGTTGGTATTTTTTTTTAGTTCTCTTCTTCTTCCCAATGAGGAGTCGCTGTTGGGACCCAACCCCCGTTAGGACTTCTTTTTTTTTTTTTAAGATTTACACCTTTTAGGGTCTTAACGGGCTTGTTTTATTTTTATATTTTCATTCCGCGGGAAGAAAATGGAATATTTTGGTCTCCTGAGGGGGGCCGAGCGGCGACTCCCCCCAGGCCCTGCCCTCCCCTCTGTATTTTGGCCCCAAATTTAGTGTTTTTTTTTTAAAAATCATGAAAAAAAACCCTTTAATTGAAGCCAGAAAATAAGGCTGAAAAGGTCAAATGAACCCACGCCGGGGTTAGGCCCGGCTTAAGGAAACGGGCCCAGCCCCAAGAACGTTGCTGCAAAGTGCCTTGAATCCACCCAAAATGGCTGCGGAGGAGGGAGGGGGTGGGGGGCCCTGTTCCCCACGTCCCCTCACCCAAAGTTACTCACGGCGATGACGATTATTAGTAATATTAATATTATTATTTTCTTAGTTTTTGAGGGATCGAACCGCAGGGCCCAGGCCCCGGCCCAGCCTCCATCCTTCTCCGGCCTCCATCCTTCTCCACCCTCAAAAAAAACTCAGGGTGGGTGGGCCCAAAAAACGTCTGTTTTTTCCCTTAAATGAGGGCCTGTAGTTGGTTCATCCCCCTGTAGCTCCCCTGCTCCTCCAATTTTGGTGTAAATCTCTGGGGAATCGGCTCAACCCCGGGTGGGAATCGTGCCCTCGGATGGTGCCCGGGATCCGGCTCTTCCCCCCCCAAAAAAAAAGGACTTTGAGGGAGCGTTGCTGATGTC